ATAGTTGTTTGGCACGTAGCTCAGCTGGTAGAGCATGCGCGTACAAAGCATAAGCGGTGTCCATGCGTGGGTTCGAATCCCACCTAGGCTACTGAACTTTTCACAATCGACATACAGATTTCAAAGTCTTACGTCGTGTTTCTTCGAGTTCTGTAAACGCGTTATTTATGAAACTATCAGTTTCATATAACTTTTTGTTTCAACATTGCGGAGAGGTTCCACCTAGACCCGTCGCACGAAGAACTGACAAATTGTCGTTCCCATAGCCCCACACGCTCTGAATTGCGACAAATACCATCTCGTGTAAGCATTTACCGATACCTTATCCTGCACATTTACTCACAAACAGAGAGATGGTATCTTGGTCTTAACCTTGGTCTATGAAATATCCCTATGCTGACTGTGGACATTTTCCTAGTTATGTATGTTCTCTGTGACGGTTGGCACACAGCTTTCTTTTAAATTAAAACAAGCTTCAGGCCTTGCTTCATTTGTTCTATACACGACGAACTCCTTCTATGAAATTGAATCAAATCATACATCACCCTCGTTAAATGCCAAATTGCTGGAGTACGCAAGCACAGGCTCTAGCTATTCGCAAACAGTATGAACAGCTGGCGGCATCAGCTCTGCCCGTGGTGACTGACCGGCTGCTAAAGACCTTAATCGAATGACTGTAAAAGTCACTTTGATCACAGCTAGGCGATTTTGAACGCATCGCGTAAACCATTTTTGGGTGAATTAACCAATAAACTCCGTGACCGAAAAACGGTGTTTTCAGAACGACGTAATCAGATGACCATGCGAGCATACAACGTACAACGATGCTTTCGATAGCCGAATCACATCGCGTCCTGTAAGAACGTGTGCGATTTATGGCGAGGCACAATAAAACCTGTACACTACCCAAAATGTCACCAAACATAGCACGAACAATGACAAGAGAGTGACAGTGATACTCAGTGTGATCTTCATAGATTTTAAAGGCATGCTATTTCCCGGGGTAAAAAAGAGGTGGACCTGAAAATCCTCACTCAGAGCCCTGAACTGAGAAGCTTAACATGTAGGATAGAAAGCTGGAGCTTAGAGTCGGTAACCCATTGGAAAACTGTGCCCACTTCATCGAATCGTACGCTCTTTGGATGGAGTCAAATGTTCAACATACCCCATGCATAACGATTTTCAATCAAGACGATGACCACTGACACACCCAAGACGGTTGATATGGGAGCAATGTGTTCTATTATCTCCCCTTGGTTCACCGATCCGGTTGAAGCCCCGAATCTCGCAATTCAACCAGACAGAGAGAAGGTCCTTGAGTTCACGCACGGGACCGGAATACCATGGAACACCACCACCCCAGAAATTTTGTATTACACCAACGACGCCAAATTTGACTGTTCTACATACTGTTTCTAAATGATATCCCTGGGGATAAAAAAATCTCAATATATTAAGATATGTCATACAATCGAAGCGATAACCGGTCAACCTGCAAGCCCCCCCCCCTCCACACCTCATGGCGATGAACGGAAGAGAGCGGAACGGGAAAAAATTTTCTGATATAAAATTTCAGCTCACAAAGTAATTATAATTGTTCTGTCAACATCATCGGGGACAGAAATAATTGGTAATTCACAGATACATTTGTAAAACAATTGTGAAATACAATTCGTAGTAAATTTCGTTTTGGGGTAAAGGGGGGTGAAATGAGGTCATTTTAGTGGAACGTAACGAATATGCGAAAGGAATGTGCCGGAGTTTGTCTGTGTGTGTGCGCGCTCACCGGAGTTCAGTTCGAACCGAGCCACGGGCGTTTTTTAGCCGGTGTCAACCGCATCATCGGAACCTGTTCGGGCATACTATTCAACCGATGAGACCGTGTGTTCAACTGAGCGGGAAATTCTGCACAGATAACATCTTCACTATCGGTAGTTTTGAACTCCCATCGGATGACCAGTCGAATCTGCACGTTTTGAAATACCCGAATGGAGGATAGCAGAGAGGACAAATAAAGAAGCAGATGAACGCAAATCGAATACAAGAAAAGTGGTGTTGCAGCGTGATCAAACTGTCATACGAGCTTCAGATGAAACGGATATGAAATGTAGCAGAAACCGCTCCAACCGTGATGAACACAAAAATACCATACGAAGAACGATAAGATCGACATTTACAATCGTTTATCGAGTCTCATCACACCTCGAGAGCAGTACGGTTTCGGAAATGAGCGATTGCAGCAATAGAATTTGGGGAACGGTGAAAAAATTCAATCACCTTCTAATCAAAATTTCACGTTCGACCTAATAATTATACTGTTTCAGTTTTTTTATATTTGACATTGAATTGCGCAATCAAGTTTATAAAACCGAGGTTGTGGACAACCATGGAATTGCCATGGTAGTTCCCAACACGGGATATAATGGTCGCCATCCGAGTGCAACAACTGACGCACATGCGAATATGCTCTCAGAAACCGGCACATGCAGGGACATGGTTAACGGTTATTAAAACTGAAGTGATGAAGTGAGGGACGCCTCCACTGACAAATAGAGAATGCTTTGATCTCTGATAGTCACGAATTATAGCTAGTCGGTTAATCGGGTAATGGTGTATTCGAATACACTTTATCATTTCACTCTCGCCGCCGCCGCCGCGGAAGCAGCTGTAGACATTCTAGTACATCAATGAAAGAACAATAGGGGTTACACTAGCAATAGTAAGACTAGTGACAGACTATGCATTACGCGGAAAACGAAATCACCACTCACTGATGGAAACTGGTGTTGCACGAACAATTTGAATTCGTACGTGTACGGTCCCTGGTCCGGAATGAGCGGACAGGAGGGTTGCACAAAATGACACACGTTGGAATCATCCAGCGGAAAAGGCACGGGAATATGGGCGATGATTCCGTGCACAGCCACCGTGGCCTGATCTACGCGTTTCTCTGTGTGAGAAACGCGGAGAGAAAAACGGATAGTACAGAACGGGCATAAGTTTCGGTGGATACAATGATAATGATAACGGAACAGCATGATCTGTATCATGGGAATCAAAATTCTCATATGATAGCACAAAGCAATACACCATTGTGACATAGTTTCAGTAGCAGTACGACCATAACCATTGCTAGTAGAATGTTGCACATTAAAGAAAAACTTTTTGCATGCGAACAGTGCGCTGCACACGAGTTTTCGGATGTGTAGATGTCGCAAAGAAGAAACGGCGACTGTTCTGATGAGCATGATTAGGCATCGTAGATAAGTACCCCTTTGGGGTGAAACTATTCCCAGTCAGTTGGATCATTTCGGCGAAACACTCTGAATGACACCGAAGTAGACACCTGACGCTGAGAAATTAAAGTTGATAATCGTGAACTTAGGAATCGTTCTCAAACAGCTGATTAACGCTGTTCGCCCGAATCTCAATTCAAAGAAGCACGACTTGGATGGGTAGGATAGGGTTTGTGAACTAGTATCCAGACGAGATTCAATGAATACACGATTGAAAACGTTGCTTGCTAATCGGGCGTGTAATAGAAAACCAATAAAAGACTAACTGTCACAGGGAGGTCACACCGATTACTCTGATCTGGTCGCATTTTCTTGGTCAACCGGATAGGTATATAGACACATACTAACTAGCACGCAACTTCAAAGATAAATAGAAATTTGCAGGAACTATGAGCGATTCACAAACTGAACGATTCGAAAGCTATTGCTATTTTTTTCGAGCAATTTTGGCAACGGCTTCCAACGCGATAGTGAGCAACTATTTCGTGTACAGACTTCTCCGAAGTGGATGGATTAATCCATGTGAAAAGTTCAGAACTGCAGCTTCCGTTTCGAAACTCAACTGGTGAAGGTATATGCTCACACAAAGTCGTGTGATGTCCATGTGCGCGTATTCGAAGGTTATGGAAGATCTCAATCGATTGATAACCGTAAAAAGCACACAATCGGGTTTTGTCAAAATTTCATAACCGAAAAACCAGGTGTGTACAATAAAGCTTACTTGAATCGAATTTGATACGTATAGTGGCATTCTCGCCCTTGTACAAAGTGCACGGGGTTGTGTCACATGGTTCAATATCCAAAGTGTGAATTGAGCCCAGAGCAGAACCTGAAACAATCAAGAGTGCGCGGGGGTTGGGCGAGGGGGGCGAGGGAGCAGAAGAAAATATTTGGTCAGAAAACGGTATTGCAAATCTGACTGTGACATGTGTTCATGTACAAAATTTACTAGGATTGATTGAATCCCTCGGATTGCACTGGGAAAGTCTGTTACACGAAGACTTAACCACAGTGGAAAAGTTAACTCAGTTTTTTACACAGAACAGTCGAGGGTATGAAATCAATTTCAACCTCTAAGCGGATAAACTCCGACCACTGAATGCAGTGTTGGTAGACTCTCACCACTACACAGATCGGAAGTTTGCACAATCCAAGCACCAATTTATTTCGAAGTGGATCTCAGTTCGCTTCGGTGAGGGGGAGGGGGGTTCAGCACACTGCTGATATTAGTACGGGTTACAGTTTGGCATGAAAGTATAATTTTCTTACAGTGCATACGGAAAGTAAGTCATCAGATAGACAGTTGGAAACTAAACCTAGCACATACAACGACAATTTATATTATTTGTAACCGCTGGTTCTGCAAGCACGTATTGCCTTGTTCTACACAATGACAACGCTAGCCAAATGTTGTAGATCATCGTCGTATTGAACCGGAGATCGGGTTCGAATAAAGCCAGTCCCACGAAACTTTAAAATCAAATATGCAGATGGTTACCACAGCATATGAAATGGATAGTGGAACACTTATCCGAGAACAGGAACTTGCATAATTAATTTTGAAATAGCTAGATGAGCAACACCGTGTATTCGTCAACGGCTCTTTTTTCTACACACGTATTGTTCGAACTCGTGCAACATGACTCTCATTTGGGAAGTTACCTTCAGTTTCTAGTATCATACCCGTTTGTCGATAACTACAGATGAGAAGTAATCATTTAGAACTCTCTGCAATGTTGTTAGTAAGATCAATAAAAGCAAAACGCAAGTAGATATTATCAACATATGTTGCATCTGATGTTTGGCAAGAGCATATTCAAACTCGTGGATACGTCTCGAAACGTTGAGACAAGTAAATCTGATGAAATTCGAAATGTTTCACGAGTTTGATTAATACCCGTGTAAAGAAGATGCATTTGAATTCTCACGGCTTCGACGATTCTCATTCATCACAGAAAATTAGGGTTTCCCCTAAATCGAGCGTTTAATCGCCCCTTTCCCAGCACATGAGATTTGATTGTCAGCTGCTCACTGTAGGCAAAACTTTGTATTCCAGTTTGCACAATGAAATTTCACCAGTAATTTTGAGGATTTATTCATAGTCATCGACGAAACAGTCTATTCCTCTTGTGTTAATTTCGAATTGAACTGAAAACCTCTGCAAACAATAAATTCCGTGACAGTCAAACAGAAGCGTCTCACCAATAGAGCTCGGAAACTGTGCCTTCAAACTAAACATATGACTGTGTCACCTCTTCTAATGAAATGATTAGTCGGATCGATTTGTAGTAAGTTTATTGAAACGCCAAAATGTCGAAAAATGACTTTTGGAGTAGAGCAGCTTGCATTGGTGGTAAGATCAGATGCAAGAATCACTGAGTTCAAAATCACAGTCCGTACTCGGGGTACAGTGGAATTCGATCGGTCACAATTTTTGTTGAATCAGATCATGACGTCTCAACCCCTGTTCGAGTAAGTTCCCCCAACAGCGGTATCAGTGAGAATTCATTTTCAAACGGCTTTCCCTTGAGTACGCAGAAACAGATAGAGAAGTCGCTTTCGCCAACAATCCTCTGTATCTGGATCGCTCCAACTGTCGATCGGAGCACCCAACCTAAAGGCAAAGAGTAGCTAAACTACCCAGACGTACTTAGTGTTTCTTTTCTATATCATCTTCACCCATTTCTACTTGGGTTATATTGACTATTATGCTTTAACCGGAAAAGACGAATAACAGAGAACATATCTTGCTCACTACACTGTACTTCACTTCACGTCCTCAAACCCTTGTAATTATATGAGAGTAAGTCATTCGTGTTCCACCAATACTGTGTCGCAGACGATAAAGCGAATTGTACAAATTCCGCCCTACAGAGCTGGATGGAAACAAATGAATCATGTATCATATAGAAGTAAAATCAACTGCTGGTTTATGGATCCCGATGCTGTTAGATCCCTGATTTAAAGTGATGAACCGCAAAGGCCGCGACAGAATAATTGTGGATTTGGACCAGGTGATCCAGCCTAATGCCAATAATTTACCCAGGAATCATATCACAATTAAATTCACAGGATGAGNACAGGATGAGACTGGTCGATCTGTTTAGTCATTAACATTACAAGTGTGGCATGCACGAAAAAAAATCTTCACGAGTTCTAAGCTCTTTCGGAAAAGGTCGATGAATTGTATATATTTGAGCCACATTGTCATAATGCATATTTAACTTACCACAATCTTTGAACTTAGAGCATTCTACCGAAATGAGATAAATGCCTATTAGCGAAAAGGCGGACGTCCACGAAACCTGTACCATTTTCACCGGAGCTGGCTGTGCAGACGTGCAGGATACGCCACGAAAGTCAATAAATCCAACGACCTTGAATAGACGAATGGGATTGATGCGTCAATAAGTGTCCGCTGTTTTCACCAATCGGATTTCCGATCTTGTGCAACCGTGACACGATTGGCTCTTTTCGATGCACAAGTCACGTGCGCGCATAGGCAGCCGACTTGACTCATCATACGCCGCGCAGCAACTCCGCAAATAATGGTTTGTACCCCCTCCCTCTCCCCCCCCCCCAAATTANTGTGCATTGGTACGACAGTCAAGCAAATACGCTATTTTAACCTCTTTGCGGCGGTGGTGATCGAGTGGTGAAGTCCTGAGTTCGAACCGCTCTAATGCTGCCTATTTTCCTCGTCTCTGCATTTTCTCAGGCCGCGGCCGCGGCCCCCTTCCTGAAAGTTGATTGTAGATTTGTATATTCAATGAATAAAAAAAAGGAAAGTGAAAAGGAAAAAGACATTTGTTCGAAAGAAAATATCCACAAAATTCTATCACCATATCATGACATAAGTGTTCCACTCAGGTTCAATTCAGATGTTTTATGGCGATCACTCCGTGTCAGAAACAGTACAAATTATTTCATCCCGGAATAGCCTCTCGGTTGGCCACGTGACAGAAAGCAGACGTATTTAAATTGAGAACTTTTGAAGCTAAACTATGTCTTGGTCAAATACTCACATTGACCTTGCAATATGGCAATCAGCTCGAAATCAGCCGGATCACTGTCACGTTCTTTTGGCTTCAGGACCAGTTGATTTTCCGGGTATTAAAATGAAACAAAAGATGAAAGCTGTTACACCACATACGGTCGACGAAAGTGACTACTCCACCACCTCCTTTATTGAAGTTCACAATCCGATCACCTCGAAAGATATCCAATCAATCAAGCAGGACAACTCCGTCTTCAACGTCAAGATGTAACCACTTTTCACGGTGCATAATAACTCCAACGTTTTCGCACCCTTTTTCATGTAACATACTCTTGAGTTCATCAATTTTTTCCAGGAGCAAACGGATGTTACTGGAAATAATAACGGGAACAGTCAGTTTGTTGATGGAACGCCACCTGAGAGTGACCCTCCAGCAATCGTGATGTGTTGTCCTTACCTCTTCTCCCTTATTCGGTTGTAGCGATTTCGCACAAAATGAGCAAAACATGAAAATTGGAGTTCAAACGCGATAAAAGGGTGGGAGATCAAAAAGGTGCGGCCGTAGGAGAGCATTTAACCTTGAGAATTGAACGAATTGATTTGATAAAATGTGTTGAGGATAGATCGCAGTTTTCTACTGTAAAATCGCGAAAATATCAGGTGGCAGATTTTGGCACGGCTGAATTCAAAAGCCCCGCATCCAAGATAATGAAGTCAATTAAGTCAATTTCAAATTCCCGCGAACGGGTCTGCAATGAAGCCCTCAGGTGCCGGATTTTCTCTTTGATTTGAACAGTTGACCGGTTGAAAGCAGTGTTTCACTGTGATTTGGATATCTTGCCTTTTGAAACGGTTGAATAACGGGGAGCATTTTATCCCGGGGTAATTCGTTGGATAGCGCCATGTGGTGATCATGTTACTAAATCGTTACTGGTAATGAGAGATAGCTAAAATATAGAAAAAAACACGCTGAAGGAATCATAAAGAAGTGATCTAGAAGACTTGATTTACTCGCTGTCGAGAGCTCGATGTCCTTTGATGATACGTCATTCGACCGGTCAGTTTCGAAAATAAGAAATCTGATTCGTAACCTGTGGTGACCCAGGCCTATACGATGGCGCCTATCCTGGAGCGGCGTGTTACAGTTTCAGGACATTTGCGATCAATCAAGTTTGAATGCTGACGTCAATGACATGTGCATGGCTTCTGAATGCACGTCATTGGTGGATGGTACCAGCCAATCCAAGACAGTGTAGACAGAAGCAAGATTATGCAAGCAGTACTGCAATCCAATTGGTGGAAGCCCAGATAGCCAATAATCTCCCTTTGTACATATTATTTAATCACCTTCATTTCTTGCAATAAACGAACTACTGCTTACTACCACTCCTGTGGCCTTTTCCTCGCGTCTCGCCCTCGTGGGACATTGCGAATCCGTGCCATTGTGGTCCAGTGCTTTTGGGATCCAGTCCGTGATTGCTGATTATTGATTCGGGTCTTGTGATTCATATTCGTGGTTGGTGTTCCGAATTCCGTGTGTGCTACTACTGCTCATACAATCATTACATAACCTTTCTGTGTCTCTGTGTCTACCCCCGGTGTACGGATCGATCCAGAAATTAACACCTGGAAATCTATCTACCAACGCAACTAACGAAACTTTGAATGTAAAAGCAGTTCAAGCAGAAACACGATCCACGTCCTTGTATGGCTTTGGATTAGGAATGAAGTTTGCAAACTTTCTGTTGCTGAGGGACATTAGTTGCTAACACCTGGTCATCTTTGCACGTGTTTTCCTGTCAATTGTAGATAATGAGAAGTACGATCTCATATCATACAATAACACGTTTTTAAAAGTCAAGCCGAGTTGTTTGTGATGATATATGTTGACTGTCCAGAGACATTGTGTGACTCACAGATGAAAGGTATTTGCAGCACATCCGTTTTGATGTTGGTAATGACCATCAACAAAGCATAGCGAAAAAAATCACTGGGCGGCAACCCAGTGTACAAGGAACGACCACTTCGACTTGCCACTCATGGGGCCTATTCGAGGTAATTATCAGGGGCTTGCAAGATATCACTACATCAGTTACTGTCGACGAATTCCAGTACAACTGAGCACCTATGAACCATGAATTTTTGTATGAGGAGCAGTTTGAGTGATTTTGGTCTGTTACCAAACTTAGTGTATGATGCAGAATTAATCTAGCACCCACCCAAGGTTAAGAAACTCAATGGCCAACATAGTGATCATGCATGAAGCGAGACGGTACGGTAAAGCACCAGGAATTAGAGACAACCTCCAGTGTTTTACTGAAACGAATTTATTAGGCCACGGCTTTTTAAAAGATTGAATTAGAAAAATGTGAATGGGAGGTTCAGTCATCCGTGGCTGTGAGAGGGACAGGCTTAGTAATGCACTGATATTCAGAGACAATGACCTTCAATAATTTTATGGTCCCCCTCTTGGTATCGATGGCTTCACATGGTTTTTGTGTGATAGAAAGTTACCTACTGGTAAATAATTCAGTAGTCTGAATAGCATCAACGTTTGTAGCAGCATCAGGATGATCTGCATTATCAATAGCTTGCGTTGATGTCTTTCTGCATTTCATTACTCATCGTCGTGGCTACATCTCACTTATCCCGTCGGACTCGACTGTTACCAAACTGCCTGAACTCCACTTTGATTGATGTGTATTTATTCTCATAAGATCTCCAGATTCACATGTGGCTCGTATCCTTACTGACAAAGACCTTAGACCAGTCAAGTGTTGGCAGTCATTATCGCATCAAAATTTTTCATTCCCAATTTCCCAAATAGTGCGTCGCTCCAAAACCAATTACTCAAGGAGGGATTCTCTACAAACGACTAAGCAGCAACGAATTCATTCATCCTCTTGAGCGGGTCCGACAATCACTCGTCCGATCGAGTTGGATAGTTCAGCTGCAACAAGGGAAGTGATGCTTACCCACTTAAGCCGAGAGCGAACCCACGACTTGTCCACTGCCGCGAGTCTTTATCATACCCAGTGAACTTCGATTGTGGGCAGCAGGAGTGCCATTATCAAATGAATAGACTGCAAGTAACAATAAGGATATCACAAACAAAACGAGTCGGTAATTAGACGGTTTCGTGTCAGGTTGAAGGAGTTCAGGTTACACAAATCATTGGAAGCGATCCAATCAGGAGTTTAATTGTTTGAGGTCCCGGATGAGAGGGACAAGACAATGTGAAATCATGAATTAATCACATTGTATGCGGGTATGCAAAGTTCCAGACACCAGTATCTACGCCCAGGTGTTGTGATGATCATCAGTTCGCTCAGGGAGAGTTCAGTAAGATCCAAAATTTTCAGAAATATTTGGGACTGATGGCTCGCACCAGCGAACTATTCTCGCGCATTAAGAGTACTGTTCAAGCGCGCTGATCATATAGCTGAATGCCATGGAGTTATCATCGATAAGAACTTCGGTGAATTTACCACTAATTTTCAAAGCATCGCCGAGTATTCTGAATGAACAACAACAACATTCTGCGAAACTCTTAAACCTGAATCGATTTTGTCATGTTAATTATAAGGTACCTGGCTCTTAAAACATCTCCACATGCAGCCTCTGTCTGTCTGTCTGTCTGTCTCTTTGTCTGTTTATATGCATGAATGCATGTATGTATGTATGTATGTATGTATGTATGTATGTATGTATGTATGTATGTATGTATGTATGTATGTATGTATGCATTTGTGTATNTTTGTGTCTGTCTTTCTATCTGTCTATATCCTACGTTTTCGGGACCTAAAATGCTGCACTCCTTAAGTTTAGAAGTTCCCAAGATGTATTTTCCAGACCTTACGGAAGATCTATGAGCAATGTTGATTAGAAAACATGAGCACCGAGGTGGTAGTCATCTTTTGTCAATTTGACCCTAAGTATCAGGAAAGATCATAGCTTTTCTGCCGAATCAGCTTTCCAATAAATGAACTTTTCGTGCAGCTCCCGCATTCGTATGTGATGTAAGCATTTGATGTCAATTTATCGTCTGTATGGACAGCGACCTGTAGTCACCACTCGTTCAGATAACCTGGAAGTTCTGAAATCGAATCCCACTACCGCCGCCCTTTCTTCCTCGCCCCATTTCTGTATTTTCCCCAGACAACTTTTGTTTGACCCCATCTCAGAGTTAACTGTATCGTTGTTCATTTCATAAATAAAAAGAATATGAGAACACAAATTCAGAGGAGGATAATTGTTTTCGTTGATTTATCTTCTAACCTGTACAGATTAAATAAGAAAATGACACGTTGAGCGGGG